CACCTTGGCGTGCCCAGTAAACCAGGTGCCAGGCAGAGGTGGGGTGGGACGTGGAGGTGGGTGGAAGGCAAAGGGAGCAGTGGGATGGTTTGTCAACACTGCGATGCACAGCATATTTCCAGGGATTCAGAGGTCAGCACTGAAACACAGATGTGTGAGAAGGAGAGGCTGAGTGAGGGGGAGAGCCATCCGTGTGACTGCTTATTCCATGTCTACAAAAACTTCTATGGACTTGGAGCTGGGCCCTGAATGTCTTTGGAAGAGGCGTAGTCACCAGCTCTGCTTTGTTTCCAGCATTCATTCAGGCTGTGAATGCTGTGAAAATAACCGGCTTCTGCTGCGATGCAGCCACACTTCAGCTGTGAAACACGGCCCGTGTATCTGAGCCGCTCTCTGAGGAGGAGGGTTTTAGTTTATGAGCCACATTCTGCCCCCGAGTGACAGGACTGCATTTCTCTCCCCCTGTAGCACTGTGCCCACGGGGCTGGGACCCCAGGAAGGTCCCACCCTTTGCAGTTATCACCCCTGCTGATAACTAGCACCATGTCTCTGCTTTTTCTTGTGCTACTACCAGCAGAATGTTATGCTTCTTTTCTTCCCACACCGCACGGATTTTCTGAAACATTCTGAGATGCAGCTCTGAGTACAGCCAGCCACCAGAGGAAATTGCCCCTGTGGTAACCTTTGAGACAGACCGAGTGACAAATGTGATTAATCAGAGTAAATAACAGCAAAGAATAATATTTACTGGGATTTGGTTTGCCAAAAGGAAAACACTGTGCAGTGTGACGCAGTGGGTCAGCTCTCCTGTGGGTGGAAGTCAGTGCAGCTGCACAGAGTTCAGCAGGTTTGTACCACATAGCTTCACATGGGTCTGCACCTTTTCCCTAAAGTCTCCTTGTCCCAAAAACTATTGCTGGTACTGGGGAAAAAAAATCCCCTATTTAATGTGCAGACAGCTTCCAAGTGTCAGGGCTGAGATTTACCCTGGGTTGGTCAGAGGGATGGGGCAGCGAGGCTGAAAGCAGCTCCACTGGTGGTCTGTGTGGGCACAAATCATAGCTGGTGACGAGCAGCAAATTATTAGGACTGATCTATATGTGCATGATAAAAAATACTAGTTTTCCCAGACAAATATGACTGTTGGTAATGTCTGAGTGCTGCGGGGAGCCCCTCTTCCTCCCTGCAAGGTGATGAATCAGTTGGGATATGTGGTTGTTGCAAGTGAAGTCATAAGTTTGCTTGCTGAACATATCTTGTGTGCTTGGTGGTAATGCATATGGGAGGCAAATAAATAACTGCAGTTACACCCAGGTTTGTGAGAAAGCAGCGCCTCTTATGAGCTGAATCCATACCATGTGTCCAATGCGAAGATAGATGCGTAGCACAGGGTGAAAACGTGTCACATCCACTTCTGTGTGGCTCCACTTGCCACGCTGCAGGTAGACACAATGGGAAACAACACAGAGCTGAACAAGTCCTGCTCTGGGTAATGAATAACTTGAAGAGAACAGCTCGGGGTCAGGGTTTGATACGCTATGAGGAGCACCAGGCCTTTGGATGTTGCTGTGAGATGTGTTGGAAGCACAAGGGACAGGTCACACTTCTACCAGACAAGAAGCAGCCCAAGGGAGCTCTGCACAGAGCCAGGAATGCAGCAGCTCTGTGTGAAATCATCCCAGGCATTCCCATGGCACCCAGCTACAGAGCTGTCCCAGCCACCCAGGACACAACTCAATGGCCGAGACCTCTTAGAGGCATGTCATCCAGCCACAGAATCATTAAGGTTGGAAAAGACCACTGAGATCATTGAGTCTGCTTGGAGATGATGGCATCCTGCACAGCCTTGCCCTGACGATGTGACGGTGAATGCTACTTGCATGCTGTGTTGCTGCATTGCTCCTGCATCAGCCTGAACCTCGGGCAGGGAAGTGCAGGGGCAGTGATGGAGGAGGAAGCGCTGCACCATTTTGTGGCTCCTTCCAGCGGTCCCAGGGGCAGGCTGCTGCTTATTTTTAGCTCCTGAGGTAGCTGAAATACCACCGTGATATTCATTAGCCGAATCCCCGTCAGATGGGAGCTGCAAGGCGGGCGTGGGGGGACGCTTGGTCTGGTTTGTTGTGCTTGATTTAATTGCTCGCTTCAGTACAGATGCAGCGCGTGGCAGGAGGCTCAGTGCCTCTCACCTCGGGAGAAGGGGGAGCGCCAGGCCCGGGGGAGGCAGAGAGGGAAAAGTCAATCAGGCAGTATTTAAAAACCTACCTGCTGGGCCCAGGGGGGGCTGGAGGTTTTAATGTCATTCCCAGCGTGAGATGCAGCCTGGAGAGCGAGAAGAGAAGGGGGTATCTTCTCTTCTTGGATCCCTAATTGCTCGTTAAATAACCTAACAAATGCATAAACCTATGGGCAGCCCATGCTCCTTGGCAGAGGGGCTTTATCCTCGGGAGAGGGGAGGGGTATTTTTAAAAACACTCATTTCTCTGCTTTTTCTGGGTGTACAAAAGTGAGAGTCAGATCGTTGGCTCAGCAAAACAAAACCCAGCCTCCAGTGCTGTATACACTGCGGTGTATACAGTGCTAGCAGGGGCACTGTGCTTTCCATGCCCTGCACTCAGCTCTCGTACTGTAGAAAGGAGGCTTTCCGTCCCAAAATGAGACTCCCGGTGACTGCAGAGCTGCTGCAGCTGTTCTCCATTTGCATCTCCCAGAACAACCCTTGCACAGCGAGCTTAGCCCCACTGCTGGCCCGCACAGACCTGGTGACCGTGGCCTCGATGCCTGTCCCTGCCAGCTCCCATTCTGTCACTGCCATCCATCAGCATCCTCTGCTCAGAGCCACTGAGTATTACGCCGCAGGGGACGGCCACACATCCCCATACAGGAAAAAGGGAGGCAGCTCTTTCCCAGCACACTGTGATGGCTGTGACGTTCCCTCTGATCCCGGCGCAAAGCAATCCCCAGTTAAGTCCACGAAGGGCAGAAGCAGCCCAAGCCCTGCCCTTTACAGCTGGAGAGCTTCAGATCTGCTTTGCCATCTCAGACGGATGAGCCGATCTGTGACTTACACCTGTAAATCCCCCCTGCTACATTCGAGGTAACATAGGAGAGAACTCCTCCCTCCCTGAATGAAAGCAGCTTGCTGCAGCACAAGGTTTGGATACCTTGTGAAGCACGCAGTCCATCTGAAGGCAGTGGGGTGCCTGTGAACCAGCCTGCAGCACTGAGCTGACCGGCCTTCATCAGGCTGTGTGTTGTTCAGAACCTCTGCAAGGAGAGGAATTGCAGCTGCAGCAGGGCAGAAAAGCTGTGCTGATGGTTTATGAATATTCACTGGGCTCACGAAGCACTCCGGGGCAGAAAACAAGCTTTGAAATTAACTGAACCCTTCAAGGTTCTTTGCTTGCCTTGGCTTTGAGGTGTGAGTCACCAAGACGGCTTCTATAAAACGAGCAGAGTCTGTATGGAGGGCTAGGAGGATTTCTGGGCAGGAAAACACTAAATTAAGCGTTCTGTGAAAACATCTTTATGTTCATAAAGTCTTCAAAGCACAGACTGCCCCCCATTAAGTTTTATGGGATGATGTCACTGTACAGTACTGAGACTTCTGCAGCCTATAAGGACTTGATGTTCTGTGGACTTGAAGCTCTTCCTCTGAGTATAGAACTCTTCAGCAGCTTCTGTCTGCAGTGCTAGCAGCTTGGTGCCCTGCGATTTTTGAGCAGTTTCAATGAATAGAAGCTGCAGAAGAAGAGCTTTGGCCCTGGCCGTGTAGCTCGTGTCATACCCGTTGCCTTCCCCATTCATACACCTCAGCTGCTCCCAGCTGCTGGGAGAGATGCTGGTCCCTTGGGAGCCCTACAGCTGCCCAGAGAGCTGGGTCAAGAGGGACATAGGGCTGGGGATGTATGGGAACAGAAATAGAGAGCTACCAATGGGACACAAGGAAAGGTAATGAGACAAGGAGGCTGTCTTCACTAGTTTGCTGTAAGCAAAGCAGAATAAATGCTCCTCTTTGCCAATTAATTATAATGATAATAATTAGTTTCATTTCAGGTAGCAGAAAGATGAGATTTTTCCTTTTTTTTTTTTTTTTTTTTTTTTTTTTTTCCCAGTTAACAAAGCAGTGAAAGAAAAACTCTGCAGGTTAGCCAGCATCCCTGGGGTTTGGGGAGTCTAGGGGGGTGGGAGGGCTATTCAATGCAAAGCAAACCTGTGGGTCAGGATTTGAAATGAGTGAAGCATCGGCCGCTGTGGGCTTTTACAGCAGGGCTGCACTCAGCTGCTCCGAGGCTGTCTAGACATTCCCATCCTAAATCTGAGACATCTTCCAGACCCGAGTTGTGTCAGAACAATATCCTCCAGGAAAAGTTGCTGTTCCAGTGAATCAGATTTTTCTCACCAGAAAAGATTCCATCTGAAAGTCACCAGCTGGCCCTGCCCTCCCCACCATACTCCCGAACCACAGGAGATTCCTCTCCATGTGAGTCACAAAGCAGTGCAGACAGCCAAGGTGTTATGTGTTAGCATGAGTTAGCCCTGGAGCAGAGATGGGCACATAGGAAAGAGCAGGAATTCAGAAGAAGCAATAAGGCAACATCTGAAAAGAAGTGCTTCTGAAGCCTTTCTGCTGTCCTGTGTGATAAGATGGTCTCTGCTTCAGCAAGGTTACATGCTCAGTAAAAGGGGATTCAGGACAGCATATGCATCACTTCGGTAACAGTTTAACATATGTACTTGTGTATACATGGATCTCCTTCTCTGTCTGATAAATAGAAATTGGTGTTGACGTGAGGTGGGCTGTACAAGCACCTGTTCCCTTTTGGACTGAGGTTTCTTTGCTCCATCCTCCTTCTGCCCTTTCTACAGAGGGGTGGATCCTCAGTTTCATCCTGCTGTGTGCAGCCTCCTGCTGCTGAATGCTGGACAAACTCTTTCTGAAATGGCTGGCTCCTAATCCTGCCTCCTGCATCTGTGTGACCGCTTGTTTCTCTCCTTTGCAGGCTGATGCCAAGATGGTCTGCGATGTTGTAAGTCGGATGGAGGACACAGAGCCCTTCTCCCCAGAGCTGCTGTCAGCTATGATGAGACTCTGGGCAGACTCCGGGATCCAGGAATGCTTCAACCGGTCCCGGGAATATCAACTCAATGACTCGGCCCAATAGTGAGTATCCCTTTAGATGGGCTTCAGTGTAACGGAAGCTGCATTTGTTAAAGTTTTAACCAAAGTAGCCCCAAAGGCATCAGTTGCCTTACAGCAGTGGATCTAATCATGGCTATGCTTACAAGCTAACTAGAATGCATGCTGTGTCATGGGCTGCTGCAAGGTAGAAAGGATCAAGCAGGATGTTCATATTCCCCTCTGGCCATTCTGGAGTCCAGGACCCTAAGGCCAGGTTCCCAAACTGCTTTCAAACTGTTCAAGGTAGGTTCCTGCAAACCAATCCAGTGATGTCAGCCAACCCATGGAGGTGGCTGATGTTTTCTTCCTGTCCAGTAGATAACAGAAGAGCGTGGACACCTGCTTTGTATGGCATTACAGCTCTTGGTTTTGCCTTTCTAATAATCATGCACTGTACTGATAGGCAGCTGAATAACAACCAAGGACAGGGAAATTGTCTGCATTTATGATAGCTTTGCATTATTCTCACAATACAGTCAGTGGCATCTGTACCATTAGGGACCACATCCAGATCTTTTTTTCATGGTGATTCAGTCTATGGCTTTAGTTCATCCCACTGCAAAAACAGGACATTTACCCATAAACTGCTGCTCTGGCTCTGAAGAAACATTGAGTGTTTCCCTAGTTTCATTTCGGGCCCATTTCTAATGATAGTTCCTCCAATCTGTTTGTCCCTACCTAGGCAAGGAGGATAAAGCATTTCGTGCCACAATTTCAATCACAGCAGCTGTTGCAGTCAGGCAAAATGTCCCCCTGGCCCCGTGCTGTGTCGTAGACAGTAGTCACTAAAATATGGTGTAGTATAGGGAACAAGCAAGCACAGAGTAATCCTTTTCCCTGTTCTACCCTGGGAGTCCATTTTGATAGTCAGAGAAAGAGAGGCTCCCCAGTGGTGAAAGGGGAACGCTGTGTCCATGCTTTTGGCTTCACGGTATCCCATGTCATCAGGCCCACCAGCTGACTCATGCCCTTTGGGACTTCCTGCCTGTCTGCATTGCCTGGCACCTCTGCTTAGAGTTCCATCAAAACACAGACCCAAACACGGGGATGGCTGTGTTCCGTGCGGTGGCACTGACCATCACCAGCCTGCTCCATCTCCTCCCATCCCAGCTGGCAGGGCAATTTGGGAACACAGAATTACTTTGCTGTTGCAGCGCTGCAGCAGAGCATGAGCGATGACACATCTCTTGGCACTGACCAAAAAGCAAAAGGGAACTCTGCAGATGTGTGATTGGTGTCACAGCATCCTACCCAACAATTTCACACCGCAAACAACCACATCTAAGTGATGGTTCCAAAATATGCTGACTTTTAATCACTGCTAGGAGGACATCCATGCATAATCAATATTTCTTTGCCTGTAACAGCAAGATCTGCCTTTTCTTGCCATTTTTTTCCCCCACAATATAAGTGTGTGATGGCAAAAACACATCATTAGAGATATAAATTATATAAAATGCCAGTCCTAATTGCATTACAACCTTGTGGAAAATTCTTCAATTGTTTTAGAGCCAATTACCTTGAGGAAAGTATTTTGATTCTCCTTCCATGCAATATAGCAGTTGAAAACAATCAGCTTCGCCCTCCCAGTGTGACCAGATGCTGGGTAATTCATCAGCAGGAGCTCTGAAATCACAAGCGGTTTCTAGACATGAACTTAAGAGGCTCAGTGCTGTGGCATTCAAGGTGATGGCTACATGCATTTGCAGCCCAACAAAATTGTTTCTGGTGTTGTTAACAAAGTCTCCTGTGCTGCACTGAAACTCTCAAGCTGGTCAGCACGGAAAGAGAGGTGATGATAGAAGAAAGAATGGAAGGAGAGGAGACGTTAAAGCCTGTTGGCTTTTGCATTGCTCCTTCTACAATCACTAGAATCATCCAGACTGGAAGAGATCTTCAGGATCACAAAGTCCAACCATGGACATGACCTGCTGTGTTCCATCATTAAACTGTGTCTCCTACCTGGCAAAACACTGGCTACATCTTTTGAGGGGGTTAAATGGTAGATTTGTCTGTCCTTGGGAGAGCACGCAGACACACACACCCAGGGAGCTGGTGCTAGGGTGCCTTACTGCTCACCTGCTCACCTTGAGCATGCACCCAACAAGACAGACATCTGCTGCATAAAGCATGGAGAAAAAAATAACTTCTTCGGGCACATTTTCCACCTCCCAGAATTGGGGATCCAAAAAAAATCACCTTTCAAGCCTGTGACAATGACACAAATCATTGGGAAGAAGAGGACACAGGCCTTTCCCTCAGGGAAAACTCCCTTTCCCTAACCGTGGCTGCACACGCAGCCAGAGGAGGGCTGTGCCTTTTCTTGTGGCAGGACCTCATTTCTGCTCTAGGGCAGCTGGTGAAGCTGACGATAACAAAGTCCTTTGCATGCCCAGATCTGGAGCCCCTGGTGTTTCCATCATCAGGAGCAGAGATGCTGTCACAGGGCAGGGACTCCAGCGCATCCTGCGGTGGCTCCGGGCCCTGGTGCATCACACCAGATGGTGATGCAAGTGAGAGCTCAGTTGGCACTTATTCACGCCCAGTGGACACCCAGTGAAAAGAGGCATATTTTTCATTTAATCTTTCAGTGCTTCGAGGTTGTTTTCTTCTGCATGAGCGAAAAATTTGAGACAGTTTTCTATTTTTTTCTCTCTCCTGGGAAAGGACTTGTCTTTATTGACACTGATATTGGCTTTAAAGCACTAGTGACTACAAAATGGGTTTTCATTAGGGTTAAGAAAAACAAATTCTGGACAAAAGCTGAATCTGAAACTCTCAGAGATGAAAAACAGAGATGATGATAGTGAGTTGGGCTGCCGGCATATGGGCATCTCCCTTATTTTGGGTTTCTCTTGGTTCCAAGCATAGGAGCTGATGCTTGCTGGCAGGAGGGGGATTACTACTGGGATCACAAAGCCCAAGGCAGTTGGAGACCTGCAGGGCAGCACAGGTGGGACTGTCAGGGGCAGCTGGGGCGCTGCCCTTCATCCCCACCGTGCCACATGCATCCCGAATGCACTGGAAGCTTTCCAAATCCCCTATCTGCTCCCCAGGAACCACTGCCTGGACTTCTCCATATCACTAAATGCAAGGTCAGCCATCAGCATCTGCTTTTTTTAATGGATAAAGGCACTGTGGCTGTCCCCTGTGCCCTGCAGCTTCTGACAAGGCGGAGCTGCCAGACCAAAGCAGCCCTGTGCTGTCACTAGGGCTCACTTCTGGCCAGTGCCCTGCTTGTCCTGAGCTGCACTCCAGTGCTTTGCCTTGATTTTTGAAGTGGTAACTACAGGCCTTCTGCTGCGTGCCCTGGGAGAGCAAACCTCAACAGCTAATCAACAGCCTGTGAGAGCTAGCAGCAGGGCTCTTATTAGTCTATCATTAATTTCTCTGAAAATAGATTTAATATTTCTTATTAGCCTAAACATGAACTCAGTAATAGCTCTTCTCTGCTGTCAAAGATGAGCAGGAGCATGTTGTTACCTGCTCTGCCTAACGGTCTGGACTTTACTGCAAAGCTTTGTTTCTTTTAGGCTCTAAATCCAGCCTCTTTTTAGCAGAGTTTTTATATCTACTGCAAAGGAAAAATGGAAAACAGCACTCTTGCAGAGAAATAATGTGATAGAGGAAGAGGGGAAGTTCTGCAAAGATCCTCATGTCTCTTATACAGCATAAAGTAAAACAACAAGGACAGCAAGAGAGGGAAAGAGAGTAAGAGGTAGCCAAGGGTTTTATCATTTGTCATTACTGCATTTTTTCATCATTCCCTCAGGCAAATTTATGGGTGGGTTGAGTTCCACATTCCTAATCTCCTGATTATGTTTTTATTCCTACTTCGTCTCCTCTTCCTTTCTTGTCCGCGTGCCTAGGAGCTAAATCTACCTCTGATCATCAAAAAGTCTGGGCATTGCTGATGCCTTTTCTTGTCCAGCCAATTTCTGTCTGTGGACGTACATCTGTGACCCACATTTTGCTTTCAAAATCAGCAAAATAGAGGTTTCCAGCTGGTTTCCTTAATCTCCTGCTTTTGTTCAGAATTAAAAACTGTCTTGTGTTTCCTGTCCTCAAGATCCTAGTTAGCCTGGTCAGGGAGCGCAGCGTGGAGGGCAGCTCTGATGGTGAGCACCCAGGTTTGGGGACCTGCTTTGAGCAACCTCAGACGTGAGGAGGGGAATGGAGCAGACGGAGCAGAGCATCCATACGAGCACCACTCCTCCATGCACATATCCGTGCAGGCAAGATGTGTAGGCAGAGGCAGTTTGCAAGTACACATGTACACGGAGAAAAAAGAATCCATCGCAAGTTATTCTCTGGCTTCCAACTACACTGAAAGATCACTTGATAATGCCAGGGCTGTGAAACTACCGTGAAACTGCAAAGTATTTTAGGCCTATGTTCAACCCATCCATCTTCACACATCTGAGGTGTCGGGGCTTAGGAAACTTGCTGCCTTTGGCTCTCTGTGGGGAGTGAAGGGAGGGAGAGCTGCTTCCAAAGGGGAACACAGACCTCAGTGCAGTGTGAAGAGGTGCAGAAGGTGCAGTTGTGTCTGCTGCCCCGTGTAGCTAACAACTTTGGTATCTCAAGCCAACTGGACACCGCTTCAGTCAGCCCATTTTCAGGAGCTCTTTGGGCAGTGCCCTAAGGAAGTATCGCACTGAGCACAGGTTAAAACAGTGACGCTTTCCTTCTCACACCTGCTCATGTGGGATTGCTTTCTGATCTCTTCTCCTTGCAAAGAAATTGTCATTGCAGTGGTATCACCTTCCTTGCCAGTGCTCATTGCATCCCACGTGGCAACACGCATTAGTTGGAGCCAGACGTTGTCATGATGTAGGGAACTGCTTCTGGAGTGAGCCCCAGCGGAGCGCCGCCGGAACAGGTTGCTGTAAAACCTCCAGCCTTGGGAATACTGGCAGCTGAGCCGCCTGAGTTACAAACTGAGTTTAACTTTGAAGGAGGCCCTGCCTCCCTTCCCACGT